GGCTTTTCCTTTTGATCTTTGGACAGTATTTCTTCATCAGAATATGCCAACTTATTGCCAAAAATGCTATCATGTCCTAATCAAAGTCGCACTGCACCTACTGCTCTTCTATGGCATTTGTTCAGTTTCATGATTCTTTCCAGTAACCTTTCATAGACCTGATGAACTTAAGTAAATTAATTGGTTTCCAATGTTGGTGTCTGTATTTCTCCTTTATGTCTGTCTTCAGCTATAAGGAGAATGCCATGAGACTATCAAGAATTCACCACGACCAGCCAGTGAAGCCCCTCAACCGAGCCGTCTTCTGGGTGGAGTATGTCATGCGCCACAAAGGAGCCAAGCACCTTCGGGTGGCAGCCCACGACCTCAGCTGGTTCCAGTACCACTCCCTGGATGTGATTGGGTTCCTGCTGGCCTGCATGGTGACTGTGACATTCATCATCTCAAAATGTTGCCTCTTTTGTTACCAGAAGTTTGCTAAAGCTGGAAAGAAGAAGAAAAGGCACTAGCTGTATCTACACCTGAATTTAGGAGGTTTCACATGGGCCTCTTCCAGTGTATCCCAGTAAGGTGGGATGGTAATCATGGGTTCCTTCCACACATGAACAGGCAACCTTCACTAATTATTTGTCAAATCTCAGGATGTTTTCCCAGATAAGTAATTTTGTTTAAGAACTAGCAGTATTTCAGGCCAAAGAGAAATTTAAATTTAAAAAATAACAACATAGTCAACATTGGCATATGTTGGCATTTTAGGAATTCACTTTTACAACCTAGAATTTTTACCAAAAGAAAAAAAATCAGGGCTTGGAGATGGCTCAGGAAAGACAGACTAATTGAATTTGAACATCAAGAAAAAATAAGTGTAAAAGTGAGACACCGTAGCATAAAATAAAATGTAATAATAAAATAAAACAAAATAAACCTGGAAAGCCACCCTAGATGGGAGTGAGAGGCATGAGGATTACCTGGAGCTTGCAGTGAGCTAGCCTGTTCTTTACAGCAGTGAACAACAAGAGAGATGCTGCTTCAACAAAGTGGAAGGCAAGAAATCACAGTGGAGGTTTTCTCTGGCCTCCATCCACCTGTTGTGGAACACGTGTATCCATACAAACACACATATGTATACACACACACACACAAATACACATACATCAAATACATTTTAGAGTGATCTTAGGGGTTTTTTGATACAAAATCATTAAGAAGCCCACTGTGATTCAACTTTGCAAATATTCCACAAGCTTTAACTTCATTTCTAACAGAATTTTATAATTTTAGTTTCAAGTAAATATTCAGTATTGGAGTAATATAAATATCATTTGTATTTAAAGAGACATATCATTCTGTTTGGATCCTGCAGAACACCAAGCCACAGCATGATTTCTTTGTAAAATAACCCTGAAAGGTATTTGTCCTTAAGTCTAAAGTCATTTTCAAACACAAAGTGGAATTAAAATGCACTGATTTATAGTTGCTTTCTTCTATGAATTTGATTGTTTCAGGAAAAATTGATTTCATGGACTAATTGGGGTTCCAATTTAAGCCTTTAAACAGAATAATGAGGTTCTCTCTCTCTCTCTCTCTTTCTCTCTCTCTCTCTCAATTATCCTTTGGGAACATATGTAAAACTTCAATTTGATTTTGATAACTTGAACAGAAACTCTGTGTGTGTGTGTGTGTGTGTGTGTGTGTGTGTGTGTGTGTGTGTATGCATGTATCCCTTTTTTTTTCAAAATAGGACAAAGTTTAGCTATGTTCTTTATAGCTATGTTGTAAAGTTCAATGTTGTAGAAAATAGTTTGAAATAACGATTACGGGCTGTAGAGATGGTTCAGTATGTAAAAAGCAATTGAGTGCAAATCTGAAGATCTGAGTTCAAATTTCCAGCACCCATGTAGAAGCCATCTATTGTCATATACACATGCAACCCCAGGGTTGGGGAGCAGGGCTGGTGGATCTCCAGAGCTCACTGACTGGCCAGACTAAACAAAATGTCCATTTTCAGGTTCAGTCAGAGAATGATAGAGCTGGACACTTATTGGGAATCAATTATGAATAAAGTAATAGATACATGTGACATGTAGGTGAAACCATAGACAAATATCATTATCAGAAAACACTAGAAAAAGGAGTAGCTATCTTGCAGAAAGAAGCACCTCAAATACTACAACTCTCACTGCAGAAGATTCTGAACTCAATCGGCTCAAAACAGGGAATAACATCAATGTCCACATTATCAAAAACCATAAGTAGAATTCAATTTGTCGACTGAGCACTGTTGAGACCATGAAGGGTGTCCTACTATACAACTGTCCTCCAGGAAGATGGGAGCATGCCCAAAGCTGGATCTTACAATTCTGTCGAGGAGTTAACCGTAAAGTGGAATAAGACTTCACTGTAACTATATGTACTTTCATTATTATACACAAAATTTATAGAAATGGGCATCTAATACTGGCAGCTACTACAGTCTGTTTGCAAAGAATGAAGAGTTTGTACCAAAACCCTTTAAACATATGTCAAAAACCATGTATTTACCTATGCACAGTGAAGATAAAGGAAAATAAACTGTTTGTGAAGAAAATAGGATTTTAGAATAAAAGAAAATAAAAAACTTCATATCTACCAATGATAATATAGTTTGACATGAAGAGGATACAATACCTAAGGATTGAGGGGATATATAATGGCAATGCCACAAGCAGCAGAAAATATATTCAAAGACATAGAAAATATGTTTCATTCAGGAAAGGGTTTAAGAGTTCGTACTAGGTACCCTGAGCTCTTGAACTGAGGAACTATTTTCTGAACTATGCACCTAAACTTTAGCACTTACCACATCGAGCCTCACTTGAACATTGCAAACGCTTCAACAAAGTGTTCATAGCTTATTTTTAAAAAGCAACCAAACAACCTCATACAGGTAAATCTTAATGCAGAAAGGCAGGAGACATGAGAAAAAGCAATGAAATGTAACTAAAGATGATTAATCCTACAGGAATGGAAAATTAGAGTGACACAGATGAAGCTGAAGAGGACTCAGAATAATGAGCATAAGTATGTTCAACAAAATCAAAAAGGAAATTGAACTCCTGTTTGAGAAAACAAGTATCTGATTGAAATAATAAACATCATGGAAAACGTGGAGAGGAATTTAACAAAGAGATAGAAATACAGAGGAAGAGTCCCTAAGAAATGGTGAAAATGAAAAACATTTATTTGACTTGTGTTTTTCATTGTCAGCATTTCTTAGGGACTTTTCCTCTGTATTTCTATTTCTTTATTAAATTTCTTTTATTATCTCTACATGAGTCCATGTGTATAACAAAAGGCTACATAACAAGAAACAGTGCCAGACAGGAGATACCTTCCTTTGAGTTGTTGTCCGGGGTGGTCCAAGAGACTCCCAAAATTACTCAGGCTATTGCCACAGCCCTTTATGGCTTCCCAGAACTTAAAGGTAGGACCCCACTGCCAAAGAGAGAACATACATCAGACACAGGATTTGGAGCAATAGAGCTGCAACTGATCTGGAAGCCACTTCCCCTGAATGCAGGTCTCATAGCTTTGGAGAATGCTATGAAAGTGCCAAGGGAAAACATCAATGGATGATCCAACACCAGCTTCAAGAACAAATAACCACATCGGTGGCCAGCCCAGCCTATGTCACTGGAGAAGTAGTAGCACTTTTTTCATGGGGGGAATCAACAGCTGCCTAATTTGACTAAAGCCCACTGAAAGGGAGGAAACTCAAGTGTGGTACCATAACATAACATAATACACATGGTCAGAGTGGTCCTAGATCTTAGAGAAAACCCCAAAACTCTCACATTGCTAGACTAATGTGATTTCTTACTATGTACAAAATATATATCTTTATATTTAAAGACAAATATCCCAGTCATAAGTCATCAAAGAAGCTCATTTTGCAGCAGAGGCTAACACCAAGTACCACAACTGGTCACACACAGACACTGTCTATGGATTGCCCAGGCCTGAGAGACACATCGACAATGCAATCTCTACACCTAAGGATCATGGAACACAGAACAGGGATAAAAAAGAGGACACTAAAGAATGAGTTTTCAATAATGAAGCTCCCCTTTGCAATGAAGGGCCAGGAACAAAAAAGGTCACAAATGGCCAAAGTGTAGAGATCAAGAGTCTGCTAAGTAAAGGTCCTTGGACAGGACTCCTTTATTAAACTTCATCCACCCAAGGCTCAGGGACTATCACAGAAGAGTAGGCAGAAAGATTGTAAGAGCCAGGGAGGATTTGCATGACCATATAGAAACAGAATCCTATAAGCTCCTCTGAACCTGCTCATATGATTCTATGGCATAAGTGTCAGCATACACACATCCCATGCAAATTCAGGTAGACAGTAACCCAGCATAGAGCTGGGATAATGAAGAGAAGACCACAATCTTATCTAAAGAAATGTTGGCAACTGATTGCTGCTAGATGAAGAAGAGCTGTCCTAACAAAAGGGACTGTAGGTAGGCTGACTAGACTCTGCAGATGGACTTGCACTGGGGAATGGCTGGGCACACTAACAACACAGTGGGCAGTAGCAGGGATGACAGAGTATATCGAATTCAGTAGGGTGGGGGTTATGGGAGGATGCCAATGGGGATGGACATATAAAGTTGATTAAGATTCAGTGCTCACTTCAACAGCACATATACTAAAACTGGAACAATAAGAAAAGATTAGCACAGCCTCTGTGGAAGAATGACATGCAAATTTGTAAAGTGTTCCATATTTTTTACATGCGAGGGACCATGGTGTGTGGGGGGGGATGTCAATAACTGAAAGATGGAGGGAATACAGTGAGAAATAGAAGAGACCTCCCTTAGAGTGAATAACAATCCATACAGCACCGATCAAAGAAACTTTGCAACAGATGGAGGTTACCACAGGGTTGCACATCTGGTCAGGCATAGAGAACATACACTTGGGACATGCCTGGTACTAGGTAACACATCTGCAATAGACTTCCTATAATCAAGGCTCATGGAACATGACAGAATAAGGGAGAAAGAGAGGGCTAATGCACACCTCAACTCTCACCAGTGAGGCTTCCATGTACATCAGCGTGCATTACATACAGAAGGCCTCAACTGACCAAATTTTGGAGAATAAGAGACTGTGGAGTGTATGATGGGACTCCTATATGGATCCTCACCCGCCTATAGTTCATTGTACAAGAGGAGGCAGAAAGATTGTAAGAGCCATGGCTGGTTCATGAACAAATGAGGTAGAGGCTTCCAGGACAATGGAGCTTGCTCATGTGTGCCTGCAGCAGTGATGGCGTCCAACATGGCACTCATGTCGGCTCAATTAAACAAGGGTTCAAAGGGGAGGTGAGAAATAAGTGGCAGGTCAGCACTAGATTGAGACTGGTTGCTGCTATGTGAGGGAGAGTATGACTTACACACGACCACCTGATGGGCTGATTAGACTCCAGTGGACACATTTACACTGAAGGACATTTGCATATAAACACCCAAATGAATAGGACTCAGCATGTATGGCAGAATTCACAGGGTTCAGTGTTGGGGGAGAGGCATGGATGGGGTCGGAGGTCTGGATATGAGTGGGAAATAGTGTATGAAATTTTTAAATCTCAATAAAAAACGATTGAGATGTTCTGTATGAAAAACACAAAAAAAATCAATAAAAAATTAAAAAGTCAAAATAATTTTTTTTTTATCTTTTTGAGACAGGGTCTTCCTGTAGCCCCAGCTGACCTGGAACTCACTATGTAGACCAGGCTGGCCTTGAACTCACAGAGATCTGCCTGCCTCTGCCTCCTGAGTGCTGGGATTAAAGGTATGCACCACCACGCCCGGCTCAAAATGATTTTTTTTACGTTACAGCTTTAACATATTCAGTAACACACTCCAGAGCAAGGATGCATCTCTTTCAAAAGTGGCTGTAAATTCTAGGTTCACAGTTGGGGTGATAAACATTACCATTGAAATCTACCCGATGACTTTATAGACTTACAAAATATATTTTTAAAATTATTTATTTAATAACCACACAATCAGAAGAAGAATTTCATTACAACAGCATTGACTAGGGGCAGAAAAGAGCAGTGAACAGAAATTTTACACATTTTAATTGTTACAATATAATGAAGGAAATATTTCAAATCAATGATCATAATTTCTCAAAATTAATACTGAACTCAAAATAGCAGAAGTTAGGAAGTAAGAGTAGAGCTGATAAGATCAAACCAGAAAATAGAAGTACACATCAGCAACCTGGAACTTCATCTTTGTAAGGACAAAATGTTTAAAACAATATTTAGAGATAATGACTCCCTAACCCCACAAAAGACATTTGCATAAGTAAATTCAGATATGATAGGGGAGACAATATTATCCATTATTCAGAAATAAACTGGATTACTAGAGAACACTGTGATAGTACATTAACAAATAGAAAAGTTCAACAAATGGAAAATTACAAGAAAGGAATTTTCGTTAATAGATATGCAAGACGAGAAAGACAATCTTAATACATAAAAAATGAAAACGTTAGATTAACAAATTAAACCCACAGAAAAATAGATGTTCTGGCCTAGAAAGTTTCTGTGGTGTAGTTCATGAGGAATTCATATGATTTTTTAAATTATCCAAGATATAGAGGAAAGAAGGAGATGGAAGAAAGGGCAGGATTAAACCTCCCCATCTCCATTCCTCACCAGATTTCATGTCTCCTACTATTTTTTTGGCTTATGGAGTTTAATTTGTGCCCCCAAATGCCCTTCAGCATGGGTCCATCCTCTGGAGCCTGGCCAACCTACCCAGCATCACATCCTTAAAGAAAACTGATTCACCCTCTCCCAGCAGCTATCCGTTGCCAACATTTCTTCAACCAATGTTGGGGCTTTTTGCTCTACCTCTTCTACTGGGAATTTGTCTGGCTTGACCTGACATCTGTCTTGGGCATGAGGAACTGAATTGAAACCCCCGGCACACATATAAAATGTCAGAAATTGCTATGTATGATTCTAATACTGAGGGATGGAGACAGACTGATCCCAAGATCACATTAGAAAAGAATGTCTTTAGGTTCTCTGAAAGATCCTGTCTCAACACAATGAGTCAAAGAGTGATGGGAGATGCCACAGATTCTGTTCTGGGTACTACCTGTGCCCAAAGTGCACGCCACACTCACATGCATGCACCACAGTACATACATGGCATATACACACAGGAGAGAGATACAGACACAGGAGAGAGAGAGACAGACACAGGAGAGAGAGAGAGAGAGAGAGAGAGAGAGAGAGAGAGAGAGAGAGGCTGAAGCAAAAACAAAATCAATGTATGCTGAACACTGAAGAGTGTGGTAGAGAATAAAGGTAGACATACAGATCAATGCAATACATTTAGAAACTAAGAGATATACACATTTTTACTTGATTTTTGGCAAAGATTACAAAACAATAAAGGAAGTAGCAGTCTTTTTTACCAAATGCTGCTGAGAAAACTGACTAGTGAAAGGCAAAACTTAAAAATCGACCCTCTACCTCCTGCCATATATAAATGTCAATTTAAATTGGCTCAAATAGATGAGTTATAAATATTAATGCTGACTAAATTATGAAAATATATTTGGATACTGATTTGAAAATTATTCTTTATGTTCTCAAACCCACAAGTATCTAAACATAAATTGAACTTCACAAAAATCGAAGCTTCTCTGCATCAAAGAGCATCTTTAAAAAGATGAACCACAAAGCTGGAGAATACATGTACAAATCGCATGCCCAGTAAAAGACTTAAGCATCATTGGTTTAAAAAGCTAGTGACTCTACAATACGAAGAAAAAATCGAGTATGGCTAGAGAATGTGAATATACATATTTCCTAGAAACAGCCAATATTATGAACATGAAATAAAAGTATTTAGCATCATTATACTTACCAAAATTGAGCTCAAGAGAATTTAAATAAAAACACAATGAGATATTCCTCCGTTCCCTCCGTCCCCTGTTGCCTGGTGACAATCAAAAGTGAAATAATAGACTTGACAGCAGGATGTGAGCGGTCAGAAGACTCCTGCACCACTGTGTTTAGAACCGTCTGTCGATTCCCCGCGGACGTTCAATACGTTCATATGGGTCATCTAGCTACACAGGAAAGAGAAAAGAGCACAGAACTAGTACCGGGGATGGGAGGGAAGACTGAGCACCGACCGGGGCGGATCCCATTTCCACAGGCTGCCCAGCCTGGGTCCCGCGCCTGTTAAGCATGTCACGCGAGGCGACCTGGGCACCCTTGTCATGAAAATCCTCTGGAAACCAGAAGAGGGCATGGGATTCCCCTGGAATTGGAGTTACAGATCGTCGTGCTAGGAAGTGAACCACGTCCTCTGGAAGAACAGGCAGTGCTCTTAACCACAGAGCCATCGCTACTGCTCATTTCATCTTTTAAACAGTAGTATTAACTGTATTTATTGTTGTTTTCGTCTGTGTGCATGCACATGTGTGTGCCTATATACACACATGCACAAGCTTGAGCATGCATTTGAATTCATCCATTTTTGCATGACACATGGGGAACATGTGTGCCATGACTTCAGTGTTGATCAGAAGACGACTTTTTGTAATAGGTTCTCTTCTTAAGACTACCTTTACTCGAATTCTAGAGAGTGAAGTCAATGGTCAAGGCCTGCATGGGGAATGAATTCAAGTTGGAACACCTGCATGGCTAATGCTTTTACCTGCTAAGCCATCTCACCAGACCTTAACAGTCTGTTTATCTGTTTCCTGGCGTGTTTGTTTGTGGGAGGAGACATTTATTTGGCTTACAGGTTATGACAGGAACTCAAGGCAGGACAGGATCCTGGAGGCAGGAACTGAAGCAGAGACCACAGAGGAAGGCTTCTTACAGGCTTGCTTTCCATGGCTTGTTCACCTGTCTTTCTTCTAGGGCCCAGGCCACCTGCCCAGGGATGGTACCACCAAAACTCAATATCTTGATGGTGACAGACATGTAGACTGAGGCCTTAACATACATCTCTAGCAGAGTTATTTGTACAGCGTTGAGGGTTTTTCTTTTTCCTTTTATGTAGATTATTTTCATTTAAAATTTAAAATATATTCTCACCACACCTAATAAATTTCTTCACTGTTGTAACATATACTACCTCTATCCTAGCAAACCTATGAACTCAGGCTTTCAGAGAGTCCGTATTTATTCACTGAGGGTTTAATTTAAAATGTGTAATGCTGAAGTGTGGGCATAGAAATTATTGGTTGTAGGGTTTTGAAGTTCTCTCTTCATTAAATTAAAGAAAAATAGAGCAAGCAGACATTCCCCATATGTTAAAACATCTTCATACTTAATATATCTAAACATATAATACCTAATTACTACAAACTTAAATACGGCTCAAAAGCAGTGGAACAAGAAATACAAGCATACTCAGTTACGTGTTTTTGAGGTCATCAGGGCCACATAGTGAGACCGTACACCGAAATGAAAATGAAAAACATAAACCTCTCAAATGTTCATACTGGGTGCAGTGGCATATGCCTGTAATCTCAGGCCTTTTAATGTGGAAGCATGACGATCAGGAGTTCAAGGTCAATTTGGGCTACACAGTATGTTCTAAATCAGTCTAGGCTCCATTAGACTTTACAAAGCAAAGCAAAATTCTCCATTAACTTAGAGAACAAAGCATTAAGGTTCTTTTAAATCAAAAACAAAACAAAAAGCCAGTGGTCATGATGCACATCTTTCATCCCTGCA